ATTTAAATAGACATTTCAATTAAGTACTAGCAAAAAGAAAAAAAGAAAGCAAAAAGAAATTTATCGTTTGTTAAATACACACTGATTTCTATGGAAAGCGTCAATAATAAACGTTTCAATAAAAATTTGACGACGTGTTTTATTCCTATCAAATACACATTGTGTTGGTAAAGTTGACTCTGTTTTCTCCCAGTTCACTGGCCACTTACTTTCATGTGTTTCGGGAGAAATGGGTGAATTTAGGTGATGTAAATTCAACAGATCCACATGACAGCGTCCAGCAGCGTGCATTATAGATCAACTAACATGGTCATTAAGGTTGTTTAAATGACAAAACAAATTAATTTACACATATTTGACAATCAGAATAGGCTGGAGTTCATGATGTAGGCTAGTAAACAAGTTTGTGGATATTTTGAATAAAAAAGAAAAAACTAAATAAAAGTCATACATCTGTCATACAGCGCTATTGTGTCTGCATGATGCGTCGCTACTGATGATACGTATAAATGATTTTAATATTTAATATTGCTTTTTTCATGTACTCTTAGGGTCACTTAGTTTGCTTATGCCTTGGGCCGGCTCTGGTTGTGGGTGGTTGCCAGGTTGTTGCTATGCAGTAATGTGTTGTAGGTGGCTGCCAAGGGGTTGCTATGCGATGATGTGTTGTGGATGGTTGCCAAGGGGTTGCTATGCTGTAATGTGTTGGTGGTGGTTGCCAAGGTGTTGCTATGCAGTTGCTAATGTGTTGTGGGTGGTTGCCAAGGTGTTGCTATGTAGTAATGTAATGCTATTCTATCTACTTGTTTTCTTTTTGTTATGTATATATAATAATGTATAATAATATATATATATATATATATATATATGTATATGTATATGTATGTATGTGACCCTGGACCACAATACCATAAGGGTACATTTTTCGAAATTGAGATTTATAGATCATCTGAACGCTGAATAAATAATCTTTCCATTGATGTATGGTTTGTTAGGATATGGCAATATTTGGCTGAGATACAACTATTTGAAAATCTGGAATCTGAGGGTGCAAAAAAAATCTAAATATTGAGAAAATCATCTTTAAAGTTGTCCAAATGAAGTTCTTAGCAATGCATATTACTAATCAAACATTAAGTTTTGATATATTTACGGTAGGAAATTTACTAAATATCTTCATGGAACATATAATGCATATTATTGCTCTTTTGTTGGTTTTGATTGCTTCCATTGCCATCATTTGAGTGTTCTGAGTGGTCGCTAAGGTCCACATGAATGAGTACATCAGGATATTCAACACAAACGTGTAGCAGACAGTAAATAAAGTACATTTTGATGCTATGTGATGACGTTTGTGTGATGGAGAATCTGGGATCAATTTAAAATAAGCTTCATGCAGTGACAAATGTCACACGCATAATAAAATTACAGTATTTTTGTGTATTTTATATTAGTTTTTTGGTTTGTTTGTTGAGTGTTGGAGTGTCTCAGATTATGGTGCTCGCAACACTAAAGTCACGAGTTTGATTCCCTAGAGAAAATCATGCTGTTGAGATGTAAAGCACCTTTTAGATCTAGTAAATTAATATGTTTTAATTAAACACCATAGTGATGAAAGAGTGTTCCTGAGTGTGTTTGTGTGCTTTTGTTATTCTTTTAATATTCTATATTTAATTAATAATTCACATTTATTTAACTGTTCTTGTGGGTTTTGAAATATTCATCAGTGGAGCCCCCCAACTTCAACACTCACAGGCCTGTTATTATCCTCAGATTGTGAAATGTCAGTGTATGAGAGTAAATGCTGCTAATGAAGTGCTTTGGAGACAATTGTGGACGGCTGGACAACAGAGCTCTGTTGTGGGAATGTAGGTCACTGTGTGTATTTGTGTTCTCATTGATGCTTGTTTTTTCCCCTTGTTTGGAGGCATACAGCATGTATTTTATTTTGAAGAAAATGTGAGTAGTGCATGCAAAACTTGATATGGGTGGTTGCCAGGGTGTTGCTATGAGGTTGCTTGTTGCTAATGTGCCATGGGTGGATGCCAGGACATTGCTATGCAGTTGCTACTGTGTTGTGTGTGGTTGCCAGGGTGTTGCTGTTTGGTTGCTTTTTTTTAATGTGCTGTGGGTAGTTGCCAGGGTGTTGCTGTGCGGTTGGTAATGCGTTGTGTGTGGATGCCTAGGTGTTGATATGCGGTTGCTAATGTGTTGTTGGTGGCTGCACAGGGTGTTGCTATGTAGTTGCTAATGTGTTGTGGGTAGTTGCCAGGGTGTTGCTATGCAGTTGCTAATGTGTTGTGGGTAGTTGCCAGGGTGTTGCTATGTGGTTGCTAACGTGTTGTGTGTGGTTTTCAGGGTGTTCTTATGTGTTGCTAGTGCTTTGTGGGTGGTTGCCAGGGTGTTGCTATGCAGTTGATGTGTTTTGGGTGTTCCTAGGCTAGGGTGTTCTGGGTGGTTGCTAAAGTCCACGTGAATGAGTACATCAGGATATTAAACAAAAAACATCTAGTATAAATTAAATAAAGTAAATTTTGATGCCGTATGATGATGATGATGATGGTGTGTATGATGGAGACTCTGGGCTGGTTTGGGCTTGGTTCAGAATTATATAAGTCTCTCATTTAGTCTGAACTCATGAGAGGGAATCGCTGCAGCTGTGAACATGCTCACAAGACCAACCACAAACTCCTTCTGCACAGACATTAGAGCAACAACAACTCATTATATCTCACAAAGACTGAGAGAAGAGGAGAGATGATGTGGCAGATGTTTAAATGAGTAGTTTGCCCAAAAACTTCTTAAAATTCATTAAATCGAACCAAAAAAGGTTCATACTTAACTGATCAGGCATTGCGTTTTCATAGCTCACATTTATGGAGATCTCAGTTATGTTTTGTTCACATTGTTTCATGTTTTTCCTGAAATTTCATTGGAGAAAAGAGTGAATAGTTGTCACGCAGTATCAGTATAGAGCTATAAATTACATTCATAAATTGATAGGGTTAGTATCTTAGCAAACTTGAGCACGGTTTAATACATTGTTGAGATCTCATTTGAAAGTTTAAAGGAGACACATGTGTGATTACAGGGTCTTTTTCTCAGGAGAAACACCTCCGTCAGGAGACTTCAGCAAAGTCTCAGTCTCGCTCTTGCTATGAGCAATAGTTGAGATATTAAAGATGTTATTTTTAAAATGTTGTTGGTTCTGTGACAAATTGCTTTTGTTCCTCAATTGCAAGTCACTTCGGATAGAAGTGTTTGGTAAATGCACACATTTAATGTAATTCTTCATGTTGTTCTAAGCCTGTGTGACATTATTTATTTATTTATTTATTGTTACACAGCAGATGTTTAGCTAGTTTTTATTCTTTGTGTTTGTTGTGAATATTTCTGCTTGTGTCGTATCATTGATTGTGCACAGAGCATCTCTCATGTCTCTTTATGGGAAGCTCTCTGTTATTTTTGGCATGTGGTTGTCAGTTTAACAGGGCACAAGCGCAGTTGCCCAGCCGCAGCTCTTCAGAGTGCTCTCTGAGCCGTATGTGCTGCAGATGGGTCAGTCTCTAGTGCTGCCGCTGGCCGGTCCGAGGGTCCGAGGTCATTCATCAGGGCTCTAAGTGCTGCCAGACCACAGCAGAGAGGAATAATGTGCCATAACCAGATGTCATCAGAACATCAGGATGATTTATGCTGCTTTTTACCTGGATAATCTCCTAGACAGACAGTAAAGATGGCTGCATTGCACTTTGGATATTAATTAATTTCTCCTGAAGCATGCATCTAATTAAGACATGCTACTTGTAAACTGCTTTTGAAGGAGAAATGTGCATTTTCCCCCTTTTTTGACTGAAGGAGGGACCTGAGTTATATTGTAGAGACTCAGTAATGGACTTGTAATTTGCTGGGCCAGTACGCAACCACCTGGTACACTATAGCAACCACTTAACAATACACTTGGAACCACTTTGAACATCCTAGCTACACCCTATCACATTATATGAACCACATAGCAACACCCTGGCATCCAAATAGCAACACCCTAGCAACCACCTTAGCAACTACACAGAAACAGTCCAGCAACCACCTAGCAACATCCCAGCAACCTCATAGCAACACCTTGGTAATCAGTCACATTTTCAGAAAATTTGCAAATGTGGTTATTTCTGTAGCTGGTAATTTCAGCTGATTTAACGCTGGTTTGAGCCAAATGTTAATCTAATAGTCGACTACAAATTTGACTACTAAAGTTGAAGAACAGGCTGCTCTGAAAGAGTTTAATCTGTTTAAAGATCCAAACATCAGCCTCCACACACTCGAGCGCAGAATGAAAACTGACAGTCATTATATCAGGAAAGGAGAGCCGGAGTGTGTGTGTGTGTGTGTGTGTGACTGAGTTAGTGTGTGTGTGTGTGTGTGTGTGTGTGTGTGTGTGAGAGAGTGTGATTACGGGCCTGAGCAGTCACTGTCTCTCTCTCTGAGCCTCTAATCATTTTTACTGTGAAAGATTTGAGCGCGCTCACTGAGCCACTTACTATTCCACAGCCAGCGTTTGCTTGCATGCACGTCCCTCAATGTTTCCCTCGAAAATGTTGTAGAAATGCAGGAACAAAAGCTGTTGGAAATTTTACAGTGTATTAATAATGCAAAGCTGAATATGAATGAGTCTGGATAACCTTAGTCTTGCGTTTGCTGGTGCTCAGAATACTTTGAAAAATGTTGGCAACCAAATAGTTGACGGTAGCCATTGACTTCCATAGGATTTTTCCGTTCAAGGGTAGTCAATGGCTACCGTCGACACAAAAGAAGATATTTTGAAAAATGTTAGCAACCAAACAGTTGACAGTAGCCATTGACTTCCTTGGTATTGGAAAAAATACTATTGAAGTCAATCACTACCATCGACTGTTTGGTTGCAAACATTTTTCAAAATATCTTCTTTTGTGTTCAACAGAAGAAAGAAACTCATACAGGTTTGGAACAAGTGGAGGGTGAGTAAACGCTGAGAGAATTTCCATTTTTGAGTGAACTGTCTCTTTAAAAACCACATCACAGATTGTGTAATTGTGATGCTTCAGTGCGTCTGTTGTATTTTAACGTCAGATCTCTGATTGCTGCTTTTATAGCTCCATGTTCATTCTGTGTTTATGCAGCACACGACTGTAATGGGCTGGAAAATGAGCCTGTTGTTAGCAGAGGAATTAGTGTCATCTGTGCATTACTAACAACAACAAACAGACTCTGTTCATGTTCACAAACCTCATGTGAGAAACTCGCCTGAAGACACTGCCATTTAAAAGCTTGGGGTCAGAAATTATTATTATTTTTTTTTTCATCAAGGATGCATTAAATTGATCAAAAGTGCCAGTGAAGACAATTATAATGTTACAAAAGATTTCTATTTCAAATAAATGCTGTTCTTTTGAACTTTCTATTCATCTGTGAATCCTGAAAAATGAAGTTTCCACAGAAATATTGTGCAGCACAGCTGTTTTCAACATTGATAATAATCAGAAATGTTTCTCGAGCAGCAGATCAGCATATTATACTGATTTCTGAAGATCATGTGACACTGAAGACTGGAGGAATGATGCTGAAAATACAGCTTTGATCACAGAAATATATTACAGTTTAACAGATATTCACAGAGAAAACAGCTGTTTTAAACTGTAATATTATTTCACAATTTTTACTGTACAGCCGTGGCCAAAGGTCACGACTGTATGTTTGACCTAATAAATGCGGCCTTGGTGAGCAGAAGAGACTTCATAAACATAAAAAACTAAATAATTATTCAACATTTTCGACAGGTTGCGTAAGTCCAAAAAAAAGTGTGTGTATATATATATAATTTATCTATTATTTATCCTCAATTTTCAATTGATATCATCAATGACAGGAATAAATAACACTTTAATTTCTTATTATTTTAAATAGAAATTATTATTAAATTAGAAAAGCTATTTTAAATTTGTAGTAATACTTCACAATATTACTGTTTTTATTGTATTTTAATCAAGTAAATGCAGTTTTGGTGAGAAGAAGTACCCCAAACTTTTGAATGGTAGTGTAAAACATCTGAATGTTATTGTGTCATATTGCGAAATATCACAGTCAGTGTCATTTATAGTAAACAAAGATGCTCAAACATGATTTCCAAACACAACATTTGGTAGAGAAGCTGGGGTTTAAATGCTAAACTATAAATCCTATAATATATATATATATATATCTGGAGTAACATGAAGAAACAGAACAAACTGAGACAGACTCAATCCAGAAGAACTGTCTCCTGCAAAGCTCCTGAGAAACTCTGCTCAAGTGCACCGAGGGCAAAAGCTGCTTTAAACACAAAGGGTGCTCGCACCAAATGCTGATTTAATTTAGTTAACAGAAGTTAATTGATAAAGAAAATCTATTAATGACATTACTTTTGACAGCATCCTCATTTTATAGCATTTTTACACAAGTGCCTAAAACTTTTAACAGATTTCTTGAAGCGTCTCGGAGACACAGTTCTTCTGGATTGAGTCCATCTCAGTTTGTTCTGTTTCTTCATGTGACTCCAGACAGACTTTTACAAGGATACTTGCAGAGCACAGTATTTCAGGCACAAATAGACACAGAAGTGGACAGAATTCAGTGTTCACGTGCATCTTTCGTGGCGTCTGCCATTGCTAAGCGACCGTGACCTGCGCTCTCCACGAGGCCGCCGAAGTTTCAGCAAAGGGTAAATGGATTTCCAGCACTGAAAATCACTTGCAGTAGCTCTGCTACTAAATTTATTTTAAATGGGTGTCTCTGTACAGCTGTCGCATGCGGTATAGACACCGTGTCTGTGTGTGAGCAAAGAAAACAATCAGTATAAATATAACGATCAGTATACTAAACATCGCACATCCTGCGATGTGACTGGATGCGCACATCGCGATATCGATGCTGAAATGCTATACCATGCAGCCCTACTGAGAACATTATATTTCACACACTTTAAGCTCTTTTATTTTCTAAATGTAATAGGATTAATCCAACGAATCGTTCGGTTTGTAATGCGTACCGAACCGCAAACCTCGTACCGAACGGTTCAATATGTATACGTGTATCGTTACACCCCTAATATATATATATATATATATATGTATATATTTCTGTCATGACAGCTTTCGGAGATAGTAATGTACATGACAATGTTAATGTATTTGGTCTTTGCGGAATAGATCTGCTACACTGCTGCTGCAGAGCAAGTACCGAGACTTGCCGCCAATACATCCACAACATGCTGCTGTGAGCGTGTAAGAAATACTGCTGCTGCACATATAACATACATGAAATAACCCCCATATAGCATACATGAATCACCTCGTAACAGATCTATACAGGTGGAGCTGGGGAAGGTGGAGGGTTTCTGACGTGCGCTGCAAACTGGTACAGCAAACAAAAGCCAGGTATTTGAATACTGAGCAGTGAGCTCATTGGCTACCGATACAGGAGAGAACCAATCAGCTGCCATATGACAATGATGTCGCCAGGTCAGATTGAGCTAGATCTATTGGACTGCGCCATCTAGAGTTTCATGCCAGAACTCTGTATATATATATATTGAAAAAAAGGATCCAAAAGGGTGTTTTCACAACGATGTCTGTTTTGGTTTCAGTGAACCTTTTTTTTAAAGAACCTTTCAATGTTCTTAAGAACCAACAGTTCTTAAAAGGACAATTTTTTCTTAGTGTGAAGAACATTTTAATCTAAAGAACCTTTTTCCACTGTAAAGAACCTTTTGTGGAATTAAAAGAATCCATGGATGGTAAAGGTTCTTTGTGGATCCATATAGATATATATATATGTGTGTGTGTGTGTGTGTATATATACATGTATATATAGAACTTAATACAAAATTAGAATTGAATTACGGTAAATAATGTAAATAATATCCCTTGACTGGTATTGTGAGATTCACCCATGAATAACTTTAGAAATCAGGTAGTATTTATCATTCTTGGAAAGAAAGTCAATTATACATCAAGTTCTTCACATTCACATATTAATGTCACATCTTTGATCAAACTGATGCATCCAGTCCCTGAGATCTTGTAGTGAAACAGAAGCTTTTCAATATAACATGTACTCATACATTATTGCAAAATGCAAAACATCTCCTGTTGCGTCCAGAAGAGATTTGTGCATGAGGCTGGGTTTAGTGTACACTTCAGAGGGCGAAATTCAAAACACAAACATCATCATTACACCTCATTTGTCCCGGATCATTAAATGCACTGTTTTGGGTCTGAAACAAGTTTCCTTTGAGGTACAAACACAGTCTGTGAGAAGTCAAAAGATAAAATATGACTACTATTCATGTCTTCTGAAGCCTTTGTGTGAGAAACACAGCCATTTGAGCTTTATATTGATGGCCAGAGTGTGAATCTGTCTGAAACACAGGAGTGAGTGTAAAAGACTTCAGTGCACTGACAGAAAGAGCTGCTTTTAGACATTCATGCACTAATGCGCTAGAGTTTAGAAACTGACAATTCAATTAAAGAAAGAATAAAGTATGCCATTGATGCTCCGCTAGGCAGACTTTCATTATTCACTCCCCTAAAATCACAGAAAAATGTCACCTCATTACAGAGGGATATATGATGATTATACAGTCTGAATAATGAGGAACGAATAGAAATGAAAGAGTGAAGATGACAACCCTCCATTACAGCCGTTCTCATTCCAAAATGTCAGTAGTGAGATTGTGATTTCAGTGGTGGATAATTTGCTCTAAAAGAAAATCAGTTTTCTTATTTTGGCAACGGATGCAACACATGATCACGCCTGAGCCCGTCGCCATGGTTACACATATGCAGAATCAGAATCAGATCAACAGCAGCTGCTCAAATAAAACTATAGCGCAGCTGTTTGTACTGAACGCCGATGAGATTAAATGTTTGTATCTCAAATGCGAAAACCCTTGCAATCTCACACGAGTTTCAGAAGAGCATCAATATTGTCTCGAACATATTTGCCAATGTCTGCAAACAAGCATCAGAGATTTTAACATGGAGTCAGACACTGCAAGAGCAAACTGTTTGGACTGTGATATGCACAAAGAAAGTTATGTTGTTATAGCAGGGTACAGTCATTTTCCCCTGAAAACACTAGTTAAAACTAAAACTTACTGACTTTGCTCACACATAATATAACACTCCCTAAAAATGGATAATTATAGTACTTTTTGGGGGAGATTTTCCCCACCCTTTTACACTTGTTGTTCCTTAGTTAAAAATGATCAGCCTTTTAAAAATAAAATTATGAATTTC